CCCCTTCCAAAAAAAAAAAACTCCCAACAGGTCGTCAACCACATGGCGGCCCAGACGCTGCTGCTGAACCAGGACCGCTGCACCAAGAACTTCTACATCTACCGAGACCTGGCCAGCCAGCAGTGGTCCATGTTTCCCTGGGATGTGGAGTCGGGTGAGCCGCCAGCCGGGTGGGCAGGACGGGGGCCGGCTGCAACTTGCTGAGGGCCGTTGGGGATGACAGGGCTGACGTCTGCACGCCCCGCTCCCGTTGCTACGCTGCAGCCTTTGGCATTGACCGCGGGCTGGGCGGCAAGCCCGCCCCCGACTACTGCATCCTGGCCTGCGAGCAGTGGAACAGCCCGCTGTACTGCGACAGCAAGCACCCGCAGGCAGGCGCAGCGCAGGGCGGCCAGGCACGGCGTCTTGGTTTGGCCCTTCACCTGCTCACCTCCTCCTCCTCCTGTTGCTGCTGCAGGATCTGGCGGTGACGACTCCCTGGGGCCTCATCTCAGCCCAGTACGACCTCTACACCACCGGTCGCAAGCTGCTGGGCGCCGGCAAGGCCGGCGCCACCGCCTGCGGCAAGGCCGGCAGCGGGAGCGGTGGCGACATCCTGGCGCACGCCTCCCGCAAGCTGCTCCAGGACAGCCCCTCGGTGCCGCAAAACGGCGCGGCGGCGCCGGGGCTGTCGCTGCCCGCCAACTCTAGCATGCCCACTGATGTGGATGCCGACCTGACCCAGGGCAAGCAGAGGCGGACTGCATTCCCTGCCTTTGGGGAGAGGGAGACAACGGGGAGCCAGGGCGCTTTGGCTCTCACCTGCATGCCCAGCTGCTGCCTCCCCGTGTTGCGTGCCGTGCAGGCAAGTCTGTGACTGGCGCAAAGGGCACCTACAACCACCTAATCGACGCCATCCTAGCGGTACCGCGCACCCGCATGATGTGAGTTGGGGGGCAGCACCGGCGCTGCACTGCCTCCTGGCCATGTGTGTGCTGGTCCCTGTCGAGTATCATCAGTGCTGACCTGCTGCTGCTGCAGGTACATGCGCCGCCTGCGCACCCTCATGGATGCATTTGTGGCCAGCGGACGCCTGCAGGTGTGATGGCGCAGGGGGAGGGTGGGGCTGCTTGGGGCCTGTGGGGCCATGGGCTTGCACGCCGGGGCGCCGTGTTGAGAGCTTCTCACCCCAGCATTGTGTGACCGCTGCCCCTCCCCACGCCCAGGATGCTGTGACCGCTATGTACGATGACATCCGCGCCGAGGCCAAGCGCGATGCCCAGCAGTGGCGAAACCCAGGTGTGACTCTCCGTGAGGCTGGTGGATGGCGCGGGGCTCTGGGCACAGGAGGGAGCTCTGCTCAGCGGCCGCCGTTACTGCCCAGCAGCTGCCGCGAATGGGTGCAGGCGACCCCGACCGCGGCTACCAGCAGCTGATGCGGGAGCAGCTGCCCATCCGCAAGGACCAGCTCTTCAACCTGTACGGGCCCCAGGGCGCGGTGCCGCTCATCCCAGGTGCGGGCATGAGTCGGCGGGCGGCTTGGCAGCTGCAGCACGCAGGCATGCGCGCGGCGTGCCGCTGTGTGCCTCGCGAGCTTGTGCCAACTGCCAACGCGCTGAACCCCCTGCCGCGTTCCCAATTATAGGGCCCCAGCCCGGCAGCTTCCAGCTCATGCTGGGCCAGGTGGCGGCGGGCCCCAGCGGCTATGTGGAGGTGCAGAACCCAAACGACTTTGCGGTGGACATCAGCGGGTACCGCCTCACGGGAGCCCTCGCCTTCACATTTGCCCCAGGCATGCGTGCGCGCACTGGCTTCATGGATATGCCAGCCACAGGGCCGGGTGCTCCCCAAAATGCTGCCCTGCCGTGTCTCTGACCCAACCTCGCCCCCTTTCTCCCTCCCGCAGGCACCGTCATCCCGCCGCAAGACTCTGTGCATGCTGCCCCCAGTGTGGCCGCCTTCAAGCAGGCCAGGGGCGGGCAGGGCCTGTTTGTGGTGGGGCCGGCGGTCGGCCAGCTGCTGGGCGCGGCGGCCAGCGTGCAGCTGCTGGACGACTCGGGCAGTACGGTGGCAAGCACCTGAGGGCTGCATGGGTGGACGGCCGCTGTGCATGCGAGCGCCTCCCTCCAAGCCTGCTGCCTCTTACGATGCCTCACTGCTCATCAAGCACTCCTCTGGCACTTGCTGTAGTACTGATTCATGCATGATTTTCATCTGATGTAAGATCTGTCTGGCTTAAGCCTCCGCCCTGTGTAGCCTGGGCAGCCGCAGCCACAGAAAGTCGGAATGGAAACACAGCGCAGGCTGCACAAGCAGGGAGAAAGACATTATACGGAACAAAAGCGTCGACATCCTGACACCAGGCGCCCGTACCACCCGCCACGCCGATCTAGCACCACGCCTGCCAGCCCACATACATGCGGCAGAGCTTGTCGCGGTCCTGAGCATCCTGCAGCAGCTGCTGCACCTGACCCTCCATGCCCTGCGCCTTCCCCTTGCCTGTACACAGTGCGGCGCCGCATGGGGGTTACATTGTCGGGGAGCCCACACCTTGGTGCATGCATGGTGTGGGACTGGGCACAGGAAGCGCGTGGCACAACAAGGCAAGCCACAGCTGCTATGGAAGGCAGCCGCAGATTACCCTGCCACCCACACTCCATATACGCCTCCCCACTGCAACACCACCCACAGCCCAGCCACCTGTTGCTGCTGCTCACCCACCTGCCTCGACCCCCTCCAGCTTCTGCTTGATGCGCAGCAGAGCGCGCTGGCATCGGGAATGGCCAGGCTGATGGCGCCGCCGGCGCCAGCCACGGTGGCAGGCGCCACGCGTGGCTGAATGTATGGTGTGCGTAGCTTGTGCGAATGCAGAGTCCGTGAGCCAGTTCAGGTGCCATCGTGCAGGCTGCGAGGAGCTTTACAAAACACAAGGCAGCTGCCACAGGAATGCTGTTGTTGTTTATTGCGTAAGGTTGAGGGCAGCGGCATGCAAGCCAGGAGTACAAAGCCAAGAGGACAAAGAGGACAAGAAAACTTACAAGCTGGGCACAAGGTCGCCATCCCCACTGGCGTGGATGGGGCAAAATGGCGATGCTCCAGCTTGTGCCCCGGCCAGACCTGTGGCCAATCTCTGCAGCCTGCTCCAGCCGGCACTGCCCCCCTTAAGGATGTACAGTCGACCAGCGAGCTGCAGAGCAGGGGAATCAGGGCGACAACTTGAAGACAACACAACCACGGCTGAGCGCTGTGGGCTGGGGCCCGGCTGCCACACACCAACAGCAAGGCAGCAGCGCCAGGTTACCTACACGGTAAACAAAATCATTTCGAGTGCCCCCGCTATGCATCACACCTCACAACCACACAACCACCCACTTGTTTGTTGGCCTAGATTGTTGATCCGAAGCAGCATAAGGCGTTCAGCACCATCAAAGAAGTCATATACATGCCGTATTCCATGCCGGGGAAACCGATGCCAGCCATCAGCAGGAAGAGCACCGCACCAGACCTCATGACTCGCTGAAAATGAAGGCGCTCCCTCGCAATGCGCTCCTGCGCCTGCTTGTGCTCCTGGTTGAAGCGGTTCAACTTTGCCTTGTACCAGTCCGGCTGGGAAGGCGGCGCCCGCGCCTGCGCTGGGCCCGAGGGCCGCGCCCCCGCCTGCTCCGGATCCGGGCCCGCTGGCGGCGCCCCAGCAGCGGCCAGCCGCCGCAGGCGGGTGCTGTGGAGCGCAAGGCCGCCTGCGGGCCCAAGCGGGCAACAAGTGGGCAGCTAAGAAATGGCCATTGCTTGGAGGCTTCGAGGCGGGATCAAGTGGCATCCTGCACAACGCTCAGAACCCACCTGGGCCCCGGAGGCCTGCCGGGCGGGCGTGCTTGGGCGATGCCAAGGCGAGGTAGGGCATGGCTCCCGGCGGAACACTGTGTCCAGACACACGGGGTGATTCTGGAGGCTGGTGGGGCATACGGAGAAAGAGCAGCAGGCAAAGCACAACGCCAGCAAGGCAAGTCAATCAGCAGCGGCTAGCCGCAAAGCCAAGACGATGCCCTTTGCCGTTGCCTATGGTTCTATCAGGAGAGAGTTGGTTCTATCAGGAGAGAGTTTGGGTCCCTGCTCTGGCGATGTCTCGGCAGCGCGCTGCAGCCCCCAAGCCAGACCCCACGATTTTGGTGTCGGAGGGTACGGTGAGCGCCGAGGGTCCTGGGCGCTCGGCACCTCGCGCCGCCGCCCCGCCGCCCGCCCCCGGGTTTCACATGTGTACAGCGCCTCCGCACAACACCGCTGCCAGCGTCGCACTCCCGCGGCCCGTGCATTGCGCAAGATCCCGCGACCTCCACAACTTCATCTGGACCGCAGTGAACACCCAAGTCTGGCCACACGGCGCTTCTGAGGTGCGCACGGGGCGGGGTGGGGGGTGCGGCCGGGCTGAAGGCGGCAGGGGAGCAGCAGGTAAAGGTAAAGGTAAAGGTAAAGGTGGGGAAGAGCCTCCACAAGCTTAACTTCCCGGTTTTAACGTCTAGCTTTAGACCATTATTTGATCTGCCCGACGCGCCAAGTGCAGTACCCCCCACTAGTAGTGAATGGGTCCCGGGGAGGCCTGTGCCGAAGCCTTGGCGATTCTATTAGGCGTTCCCGAAGGAATTGGCTTGGATTGGCGCTGAGCCGGTCAGCTATGCCGCGTTTGTCCTCACAAAGTTTCGACAGCAGGGGCTGAATGAGCAGGGCAAAAAGCAGCAGCCCTGCGGTGGTCACGCGCAACCGCCCCTGCTGGTGCTTGACTGCTGCTGCTGATCTGCCTCCGGATCCTGTGCTCATGCATTTGCTCAGAATAGAGCCCATCCTCCCGACCCGGCCAGTGTGTTTGAGCACGTGTGTTACAACACATTTTCATACCCTGGGCTGCTGCAGCCTTCCTCAAGGCGATGCGCGCCATGGCTCGGCGTGCAGGCGCCCAGTTTGTGCTGGGTGGAACCCCACGCCGACACACTGCACAAGAACATCATCACCAGCTGCGCAACGCTTGGCACCATACTGCCATTGGTGGTGCCTGCTCGTCTCCTGCAACTCAAGCATTCAAGCTGCTGCACGGTGGGTGGTTGTGCTGGTGTTGTTGTTGTTGGTGGTGATGGTGGCGGTGGTTGGTAGTGGTGGTGGCGCCATGGTGGACTCGGTGCTGCCCCATGGTGGTGAGGTATGGGGATGCGGCTGGCGGGCGCGCATCCAGTGCAGCAGCGCCGGCAATGCGGCCGAGAAGCTGCAGCTCTGCTACCTGTGCGTTTGCTGGGAGTGCGCCTGTGCACCCCAATGCAGGCTGCGGCGCGCAACCAAGGTCTGGAACAAGACGCTGGATGCACAGCGTGGCAGCCTGCTGCAGCAGGGCGCTGCAGTCCAGCATGCAGCTAGCAGCACGCGCCCACCCCTTGTCGCAGCAACCTTGGGCAGGCCTCACAGCGGTTCGCGAGCAGCTGGACCTGCAGCAGCCGGCCCCAGTCGACCTGGGCGTGCTGGACGATGCAGCGCAGCGCCGGCAGCTGGCGCAAACTCCACAAACTCCAGGAGGTGCTGGCAAAGGGCGCGCCGGCCGGCTGGAGCTCTATGTGCACAACGTTGTGGGCGCCCTCAACCAGGCGCCAGGCATGTTTGGGCAGCGAGAGAGGTGCTTGGATGTAGTACGGCGGCGGCAGGACTGCGTGGCGCTGGCGCAGCTTCGCACTGGATCGCATTGGCGAGCAGAAGAGACCGGCCGCTGGACGCGGTGCACCCGAGAGTAGCGAGTCTACCCCCACTGCCGCGACGGCATTGAAGACGCCCTTCCATGCTGCTCTCCTGCCCATTTTATGCCCCGCTGCGCATCACCTTTGCCGACCTGTTTTCTGAGCCCAAGCCCTGCCACTGCTTCCTCCGCCAGAAGCTATGCCGCTTCGCCACCTTTGCTGCCGCCTGCCACCAACGCTGCCAGTCAGCCACCGCCGTTCTGCTGCCTTCCTCCCACTGTGTAAAGCAATTGCAATGCTTATGTCTGATTACAATCACCAAGGGAGACTGTAGGGTGCAAAATGGAGGCTGAGGCTCTATCCCAATGAGTTTCCGGCCGGCCTGCGTGAAATTTTGCGGCAGGCGGGTGGGGAAATCACATGCAAACATGAATGGGGCATGTGGCAGTTGCGTTCATTCAGAATCTGTACATGTTTGGTTCGGGACATTGGTTCTGCTGTTCTGCTGTCACAGACTGCCCCTGAACCATTCAAACTTGTCGTCTACCCATCTGAAGCTGGCTATCAGGGCCGGAGCCGCGCGCCGGCGCCTACCGCCATTGCTGCCGCCAGCTCCAGCTGATTCTCGCCGACGGAGCACGCGCTAGATTCTTTGAAGCTGCAGCTGCTGCTGCTGCTGCGGGCCCTGCTACTGCCCATCGATGCCTGCCTCTGCCGCCGCAGCTGCCGCTGCGTCGTACCTCCGGCGGGCCTGCTGTAGTTTGTAGTAGGCCCAAAAAGTCTCCCACGTCTCATTTGAGAGTATGTTGCTGGTAATTGCGACTCCCCACAATGTAGCAATTGATGACTGCTTCGATTCCAGTGGGCTTGCCCCCTCAAACGCGTCAGTGTTGGAGAAAGCGAGCACAACCGCCCCGAGCGCTGCACATATGTAGAACATCGTCAGAGCGCGTGTGCTGTAGTTAGACCAGGCCTCCTCGGCACTTGCCCTCTGCTCAGCAGCCTCGTTCAATGCGTCCAAGAGAGCGCAGCCCTGCGGGCAGGGGGTGGGAGAAGGAAATTGGGCAGGGTGCAGGCATGGTTCAATGAGAATCAGGGAAGTCAGGGGGTGGGGCGGGAAGAGGTGTGATGAAAGGCAGACGATGGTCACTGGTGGATGCAGCGACTTGGGGCCCCTGTTGCCAAGCATACTTATTGCTGATTAGAGTGCCAATATTTCGGTTGGCGTCTGAGCTGACCTCAAGAGAAGCCATGGCATATGCTTCGTCGCTGCGGCGGGAGGTTGGGATGCTGCGACTGCGGTCTTCATTTTTCGCTCGGCCAGTGGCGCGGCAACGGGCTCGATACCGGCCGGGGAGTGCGTGGTTGGGCAAGACCGTGCGCAGCGTTGCGGGGGTGGTCAGCCTGAGGGCGGTGGACAGCATGGCTGCAAGCTGTGCAAAGCAAGCAGTGCTGCACACTGCAACAGACAGGTTTAAAGCACAAGCAGGGTTGATTGTCAGCCAGGCAAATGCAGGCTATGCCCGCCAGGCAGCGGCGACGATGGCCGCGGCGGCGAGAAGGCAGGCCGCGGCGGCGGCGAGGCAGGCATCCCTGCCGCGTACAGTTGTCATGCTGCGTGTATGTTATTAGGCAACGTCCAAGGCTTCCCTTCTTTCGAGAGGGGGCTGGCGGGTCTCCAGAGGGGCTGGCGCGCTGCTCCTGGTCCTCAGGTGCTCGTTTGCCTGCCCCAGGCTGCCTGTCCACCCGTGCTGCAGCACCCTCCCTACCCCCGCTGGGGCCCACCTGCCTATTGCCGCGAACTCGTTCGTTTCTCGCACACGCTTCCCCAGACAACAGTGGGCCCCCAGGTTGGAAACGAAGGGGCCGCAGTAGCAGCAGGGCAGCAGATTGTTGCAGATGAGGCCATGCTACGTGCGCTGCGCGGCGTTCTTGCCGCATCCCGCCTTTTACAGTCCCATCTGTTCACTGCAGCTGACACTAGGCAGCCGCAGCCACAGAATGTCGGAATGGAAACACAGCACAGGCTGTACAAGCAGGGAGAAGGACATTATACGGAACAAAAAGCGTCGACATCCTGGCGCCCGTACCACCCGCCACGCCGATCTAGCACCACGCCTGCCAGCCCACATACATGCGGTAGAGCTTGTCGCGGTCCTGAGCATCCTGCAGCAGCTGCTGCACCTGACCCTCCATACCCCGCGCCTCGCCCTTGCCTGCACACAGTGTCGCACCGTTAGGGTGTTCCGTTGTCGGGGAGCCCACACCTTGGTGCATGAATGGTGTGGGACTGGGCACAGGAAGCGCGTGGCACAACAAGGCAAGGCACGGCTGCTATGGGTGGCAGCAGCAGCTTACCCTGCCACACACACTCCATGCACGCCTCCCCACTGCAACACCACCCACACCCCAGCACCTGTTGCTGCTGCTCACCCACCTGCCTCGACCCCCTCCAGCTTCTGCTTGATGCGCAGCAGAGCGCGCTCGGCATTGGCATTGGCCAGGCTGATGGCGCCGCCCGCGCCAGCCACGGTGGCAGGCGCCACACCGCAGTCGCTGTCGTCGAGGGCCCTATAGACCGCGGAGCCTCTCTGTCACAGGGATGCCCATGCACTGTTGGGAAAGCGCTCGCCTTACATGTGAATGAGGGAGGGTGTCAGAAACGTTAACGGGTGGTCATGTCAGTCTGCTGAGCTCTCAAATAGGGACTGGTGTGGTCATGTTAGTCTGCTGAACTCTCAACAGAATAATGTAAAGTAGCCAGAATAGCGTCAGTCAAGTCGGCTGTCGTCAGTCCTTAACCGCGGGCTGGCGGCTGCAGATGGTGAAGCAGGAGAGGCGGCAGCGCCCCCCGCCATGGGAGTGCACGCGGTGCTCTGCTCGCTCCATGCTGGCTGCCATGGCCAGCGACGCCATGTTGCTGGGCCGCCGCTGCAGCGCCTTGCTGGGGGACACACCCGCTGGCATGCCACCGGCCCCTGCCCCGACCGCAAGCTGCTCGTGCGCTTCCATGGCGGCTGCGGCTGCACGGCGGGCCTCGGCTGCGGTGCCCGTGTCCAGGCTCACAGTCTTCCTGTGGCGGCCGCCGCCGTGCATGGCATTGCCCCCGCTGCCGCCCGCCTGCGCTGCTGCCGCAATGGGAGGCCGCGGCGGCAGCGGCCCCGCTACGCTGCCATCTGCGCCGGCCTTGCCGCTGCCGTCGATGCTGCTGCGGTCGTTGCCGTTGGCGCTGCTGGGCCGCGGCGGGCGGGCAAAGAGGTCGCCCCAGTTGAGGCTGGCCTGCCGCATCGAGGAGCCCGCCTTGGCCACCGCCCGCACAGGCGCTTTGGCCACCGCCCGAGAGCCCGACACCAGCCGCTTCTGCACCTCCTGCGCCACGCGCGTGAGCGACTGGGCGCGGGCCGGTGGCAGCGGACGCCCGCTGGCATCAGCCTCGCTGCTGCTGCCGCCAAGGTCTGGGAGGCTGGCGTCGCCCAAGCCGCTGCTGCTGTGTGTGCGGGTGTGGCGGTGGCCGGCGTGCTGCCGCGTGTGCTCGTCATGCGGGTCTGCATTGATGTCTGGCTGCACCCGCAGCCAGCCGTTGCCTGCATGCATGTGCGGTAGCGGCCAAGCTGCACAAGTCTTAGGATTGCCACAATTCTTGGGAGTGTCACAACTCTTGGGGGTGCCACTATTCCGCAGCCACGTGCAGTCTGCCACTTGTGGCTGTCCCCAGGCCTGGCCCGTGCATGCTGCCTCTGGCTCCCCCTGCCCCCGCCCTGCCCGGTCCTCCCCCGGCCCTCCCCTCCCTGGCAGCTCACGCATGAGGAAGAGCGCCACCAGGATGGATGTGGAGTAGTAGCTGTTCCTCAGCATCTCCTCCGCCGCGTGAAGCGCGCCAGACACGATGCCCCGCGTGGCGGGCTGCCCCTCCACCTCCTCCGCCTCCACCCCCATCGTGTCCCAGTACGCATCCCACTCGCCGTAGTCGCGGTTGAAGCGGCGCCAGAAGCGGCGGGACATGGGCTGCTGCCGCCCAGGCGCCCCCTCCTCCCCCGTGGTGGGCGTGTCGGTGCTGGTGGCGCTGCTGGCACTCAGGCCGCGCCGGTGGTGCGCGCCACGCGCCAGCACTGCCGCTGCAAGCGCCGCCAAGCCGTGCCTGGGGCCCTCCCCAGGCTCCTCCGCAGTGCCGCTTGCCGGCGGCTGCGTGCCGGCAGGCGACGCTGCCGTGTCGGCCAGCCCGCTGCCGGCGCCGGCGCACGGCTCGTCGAGAGCATCGTAGTACTGCGTGCCGCTGGGGCCCGACAGCGCCACGCCCGCGCTGCGCCGTCCCAAACCCAGCAGCTCCTCAGCTCCTGCAGGCTCCACCTCGCCCTGCTGCTGCTGCTGCTGCAGCTGCTGCTGCTGCTGCGCTGCGGTCTGCTGCTCCCTCGCCGCTGCCATCTCCTCTGCCTCCTCCGCCTCTGCCACCATGCTCTGCTGCTGCTGGGGACGGTGCTGCGCCCGCAGCAGGGCAGCGGGGCTGTCATTGCTGGCCTCCGAAGCCCCCGCAACTGGGCACAGCGCGCTGACGGGTGTGGCACTGCCGTCATCTGGCAGCGGCTCCTGCACACACACACACACACATGGCTCAGCCAGCTTTGAGCTGCAGGCTGCCCTTGATGACCCTTGATTACCCCTTGCTTGCTGCACAACAGCAGACCAAGCGCGCAGGGCGGCAGCATCCGACAGCTGCGTCCGCTGCCGCGGCTTGCCAGACGGCGCCACACCTGGAGGATCTGCACGACCTCCTTCCTGATCCACCCCACTTCGCACCCCACGGGCGGACGGCCCAGCAGCAGCTGCCGCCCATCGCCCGCCTGCAGCGCCTCCTCGCGGAACAGCTGCCACCGCCGCACAATCTCCGGCAGCTTCTTGTAGGTCTGCAGCGGCAGGAGGCACAGTCACGCAAGCGCATGTCAGCTTGCTGCTCAGCCTCTGCACAGTTGACCCACACCAACCAGTTTCGAGCTGTCCAAAACCAGCGACGCTGGGTGCCCCAAGGCGGGCTTACGTTTTGAAGGCTCTCTTTCACAATTCCCTCCACGATGCGCCCCACCCCAAACATCCTCACACGAATGTGGCCCTCCAGCACCTGCACCGCCCCAGCAGTCGAGCAAGCTTGCAGGTGGGCGCAGGCAAAAGTGGAGCAGCTGCGTCCTGCACCCATGCTGGCGCACCAAGCCATCACCCGCGGTCACCATGCACCTGCCACACCGCCCTCCACCACAGTGGTTCCAGGCCCCCAACCTGTCTGCAGCTGGCACCGCCATCCAGCTCCTCAATGGTCAGCGTCATGCGCACATCCAGCTTGTCCTTCAAGAAGGGGCTCTCTGTTCGCACAAAGATCTTGTACGGAGGCGACGCTATGTAGGCTGGGTTGTACCTGCCAGGGACGGGAGCCCCAGCCGGAGGCAGCGCTGAGCAAGCATTGTGCAGCGAGTGCGGGGGCGGCAGCCGGGAACACAAGAACAGGCGTGCACTCACTCGATGATGTCATGGAACTCCAGCTGGCCAGAGCTCAGCTGGTTGGCCACGCCCTTGGGCACCCAGCTGCCGAATTCCGGTTTCGTGATCATGCGCACGTACGAGGAGGTGCCCTCACGCCACCTGCGGCAGGGATGTGGTGGGTGGGGGCCATTCAGCGCAGTTGGCGCCGCAGTGCAGGTGCAGGCAGCTCGCCGGCCGTGCAGGCAGGCAGCCCGCCTGCCGACTGCAAAACACCAGCCCAGCAACTCACAGGTCGTTGAACTCCAACTGCCCAATCTTGAGCATCTGCAGCAGCAGTAGACGCAGCGAGGGCTTGCTCGAGTGAACAAGGAGCCACAAAGCGGCAGCGGGCGGGGGACGGCTGCCGACCGGCGGGCTGACGAGGCGGCGGACGGGCGGCGGCTGGTTCCGGAACGCTTCGGAGAGCCCTACTTTGGACAACAGGCTTCGAAAGGCGGCAGAGTCCCGCTCCAAAAAATAAGACTTCGCAGGCGCCGGTAGCGCGGCCTCGACTCTGAAGGTCGGCTTCTCGTGTGGCGGCGCCATGCCTGCCCACGGCCAGTTTCAGGCGGGCATACACGGCGTAGCTACCCAGCGGCGCCGGGCTAACGTCTCCGCAGCGGCACCCTTGCTCGCCCTTGCTGAGCGGGAGCAGATATTGCCCAGGACAGCGCGCGTTTGAAAAGAAATGCGGTTGACAACATCCACCTGGAGCAACCATGAAGGCACAGCGCAGCAGGCGCCGTCATGGCGCTCCTCTAGGCGGAGGATGAGATCCCGTGAATTTTGACAGCAATGGCCACCTAGCTGATGATGGAGAGTTCTGGAACTTTCTGCTTGGCAGAAGACTGCCGGGCAGAAGAGCTTGGGGGGCCCACAAGCTACCCACCTGGCGGCACCTGTGGCCCCCGAGTGATTTCGGACACAGTCGAGATTACATACAGCTACAGCGTGGGAAACACTACAGTGAAGATACATGGCCGCCATACAGGCAGGCAGGGTGCGAAGATAACCACAAGCAAAAGCAAGCGCTAGAGCAAAGGGGAGCAGTAGAGGAGGGGTGCAATGACTGGATGCACTACTAGACAAACAGGCGCTGCCGTCGGGCGATGTCCTTGCGGCAGATTGGGCAGCGGTTGAGCCGGCGGCTGCACCGTCGGCACATGCATACGTGGCCGCAGGGCACCACCACCACCTGCACCGGCCTGCTCATGCAGACACAGCAGTCCAACATGGCCAGTGGCCCCTCGGGCGGTGGCCCGCTACGTGCGTGCTTCTGTGGCTCTGCAGTCTCGTCCGCTGCGCCCGCCACCGCTGCAGCCACCGCGGAATCTTCTGCTGCTGGTGGCGACTGCGCTGCTGACTGCGCTGCTGGCTCCGTGGCACCGGCGCCGCCGACTGCCTGGTCTGGGTGCTGTGCTGCTGGGGCTGAATGTTGCGCAGCGGGGCTGCCACCCTCGCTGTCAGCTGCCTGCTCAGCTCCTCCCCCTGCTCCTTCATCAGCTGCACCTGCCTCCAGAGGGGCTTCACTTGCCGGTGCTGCTCCGGGCTGCTGCCCCTCCGCCTCGGCCACCGCATGCTCCAGCCGCTCAATGGCGCGCGTCACGCGCCTCGAACCCTAAAAACCTCGTCAGCCTCCACATCATCCTCGCAGTCTGCGCATTCGGGCATTGGGGTGGTAGTGAGCACTCTGAGCAGCGGGTGGCACCGCCCGTCAGCAGTTGCCAGCCACCACATGCAGCGTTGCACAGAACCCAATGCAGCACAGCGGCGCCACTCGTGCCTGTTGTGTCGGCGGAGCCCACGCTGCCAGAGTCATCTGCGTCCAACCGGATCAGCAGCGGCTGCCGCTCGTCGCCGTCGCCATCCTCGCTGCCAGCTGCATACGCGCACGCCAGGGCACCCAGGCCCCAGTCAGAGCACATGAGTTGGCTGGGCAGTCCCCAAGGACGTTGCACAACAGGCAGGCAGGCAGGCAGGCAGGCAGGCAGGCGTACTTGGAGTGGTGGGCGCCAGGCCCAGCGCCTGTAGCGCGTAGCCGGCGGCGATGATGAAGATGCCGGCCAGCGCGCTGGAGCTCAGCACGATTAGGGCTATGGCCCAAGGAGGTATGCTCTTGCCGTTGCGCGCCGGCTGCAAGGAGACCAGGGCAACAGGAGGCTCTCCAGCGGCTGTTGTGCAACAGGGCGCTCCGTGGTCGACCACGGTGCCCCAAAAGCTAGCTAGCACCCAGCAGGCCGCCGTTCCGCCACGCACCTCCCCGCAGTCCGGCCCCGTCCAGCCGTCAAAGCACTCGCAGCGCCGCATGTTGCACACGCCGTGGCCCGAGCACGAGTTGAGGTCGTCGCATTGGTTCATGGGGTGCACAGTGCTGGATAGGCACGCCTTGCAGCACTGGGCGGGCCCCACCGGCACCACATGCCCCAGCGGCGACAGCCTGCACGCACCAGGTGGCAGGCAGCACGCAACCTCAGTGCCAGCTGGCCCGTGGTGTGGTGTGGTGTGTCGGCTGTGCGCTGAATGGCGCTGCAATCCATCGGCACGCCAACGAGTCCGCTCCCATGCCCGCCTCGTCCAGCCAAACTGTCCCCAAACCACCTGCCCTGGCCCCAATCCCGGGCAGCCGCTCCCCGCCCTGTGCCTGCCAACCTGAAGAAGACGTAGCCCAGCAGCAGCTCGTCGGTGGTGGTGCCGCCGCAGTTCACGGGGAAGTCTGGGTCGCGGCTGTCGTGGCACCCACACCGCTCCAGCTCCCAGGCATCCCCGCTGTCCAGCAGCAGCGCGGGGGTGCAGCACTGCACTGTGTTGATCGGATAGAACGTATCTGCACGCACACGTACACCAATAGCGGCAAGCTCCGGGAAAGTAAAATTACTGGCCAGGTTGATCAACCTCCAGCTCAAGGGCACTGCACCTACATTCACATGCCCGCCTGCCGGCCTCCCGCGCCGGCTGCGCAAACCAGCTCACCAGGCGTGGTGAACACCTTCACCGCTTCGCTGTACCCCGTCACAAAGCTGCCGGCGCCCGCCTCGCACCGAGTGCTGAGCGAGCGGTCGGTGGAGGCGTGGCAGCCCAGCGAGATGACAGCCAGCGGCTTCTCGCCGGCTGGGATGCGGCCGCTGGGGTCGGGAGGCAGCTCGTCGGGCAGGCAGGGGCGGCAGCTGCAGCGAGGGGAAGGGACCAGCGCCACAGCATGAGCCATACTGTGGCAGGCAGTATGGCAGCAAGGTTTGTAGCATGCAGCACCAACAACACAGCAGGAGGGGGCGCCACGAGTGAACTAGCTTGCAACCCACCAAATGGCATGCGACAGCGGCACGTAGCCTCCGCCGGCCACCCACTGGCCCTGCCGCTCCCAGGAGCTGATAAACCACCCCTCCTTATCGCAGCTGAGTCCGCTGGGCGCGCCCGTGGCACGCTCGCACTCGCACAGCCGCAGCTGTATCTTGGCGTCGTCTCCTGCACGCGTCCAGGGCAGGAGGCCGCAGGAAGGTGGGGCAGTCACATCAACATCAATTCAGAATCGGTTCAAAGTTCATAAGCTGCAGGAGGGCGGCATGGCGCAGGTTTCACTGGATTCAGTGGCGGCGGTCGGCGTGGCCGCGTACCGTTTGCCAGCAGCAGCGCCGCCGTGGCGCTGTCGTTGAGCGAGGGCGGCAGGGGCAGCCTACTGCTCCTGGGGACCAGCACGTCGGGCCCGCTCAGCTCGACACTGCGGCCCCAAGCCGTGCCTGCCACGAGCAGCACCAGGAGAAGGCGCTCGCGGCTGCTGCCCGCCATGTGCGCCCCTGCAGCGCTCGGCTGTTACTTATACCGCACTGGAGCACGCTGCTGGGAGCCCAAGAGGCCAGCAAGGGAACTTTGTGGTGCGCAAAGGTGTCGCAGGCGGCGCCTCGATTGCTTAAGGCCGGCAATCGAGCTACATATGCGGTGTCAGGTTTCGTTTGGCGAGTTTTGCTTGCGAAACCTCGCCACCTCAGCATTGCCGGGCTCTCTTCTCCGTAGCTGACGGCTGCTAGACCATCTTTCGCTGTTCAATGCCACGATAAAATTGCAGCAGCAGTTCAGGGGGTGTAGCACAGCACATCCCCTTCGGCCATGGCTGGCCTCCGCGACCTCGTGACGGGCGCCGATTCCTGTTCCACTGGCGATGGAGCTGGTCCCTCCAACGCCGCTGCGAGCCTTGCCGACGCCCTGCTGGGCAGGCGCTCGAAGCAGCAGGCTCAGCTGCAAGAGGTAGGCGTGGGGGAGGCAGCCACGGGCGTTACAGTCCGTGCCTGAGGTCGGGGCGCACGGCGGGGCCACAGGCTGGGGTGTGCGCCACTGCCGCCAGCCCCCGCTGACCGTGCCGCTGCCAGCGCCACTGCCCCGAATTCCTTCGCCCTGCCCTTGATCCCCTGCCTGCCTGCAGCTGCCTGGCCTCCATGCGCCGGGACCATCTGCCATCCATCCCTTCCGCCCCCCCACAGCGGCACAGACTGCCGAAGCTGCACTGTACGGCGAGCTGCCTCCGGTGGCAGGCTTGGGACCACCCAACGCAGCACAGGCGGATGTGGACGCCTTCCTGCGAGGGCTGCCGCCCCAGGCTGCGCCTCACCCCGCAGACTTTGCCCAGTTTGAAAGCATCTATGCCCAGCGACAGCATCCAGTGGGCCCGCTGCTGGGGGGGCCACCGCTGCCTGGGATGGCACAGGGACGAGCGGCAGCGGCTCCCCTGCTCCAGGTGCGGCCTTCTCTCATCAGCTGTTGGTGCATTGGCTTGCCTTCCCAGCTGGTTCAAGACTGCGTTGCGTTGGCCTGCGAGCAACGGCACGCGAATGCTGCCACCCACCCGTGTCGCTGCATCTCACTCACCCCGGGCTCATTCCGTGCAATCATGCAGGCATTCTTAGACAGCAGCAAGGCGCACGCGCCATTCCGGCCGCTGCCAGCAGCAGCCCCGCCAGGCGTGGCGCTCAGCCTGCCAGACCAGCTGCGGGTGCGGGACCGCAGCACCATCATGGCCCGCCAGCTGTTTGCCGAGCAGGGCGCCGCATTTGCGGATGAGCAGGTGGGGCGCCTGCTGGCCTCCCTCAACATCAACCCCATGGAGCTGCCGGCGGCAGGCCCTGGGCAGGCCACCAGCTGGGACCGCATCTTTGGAGCGGCAGCGGGGCCGCGCCTGGCGCAGCCGTCGGCAGCCAGCGAGCATGCTGCGGCAGCGGCCATGGCCGCCCACCACGGGCAGCAGGAGCAGTGGGCGCAGGAGTTTGAGCGGATGCGGCTCGGCGCCGCCGGGCCCAGCAGCAGCGCCGCCGCCTGGGCCGCGGAGCACCAGCAGCAGCAGCAGCCGGCACAGGCGCAGCGGCGGGTGGGGTGGGAAGACGAGTTTGCTGCAGAGGGGGGGTCGGCAGCAGCCAGCAGCAGCGGCTGGGTCGACGAGTTCCAGTCGACGGCGGCAGCAGGCAGCGCCATGCGGCAGCGAGCGGGTGGGGATGCGCTGGAGCAGACCAAGAGGCTGGCAGACACGCTGGCAGGTGGGGCAGTGCTGGTGGAGGCCTGGACGGCTGAGGGCTGGGGACTTTGCATCCTGCGCCAGGGCCTGTGGCCACACATGGGCAGACACCGACAGCTGATGGCTGCCTGACCGACCCTCCCTGCCACTCCCGCGATGCCCCTGTCCTGCCCCGCAGCCAGTCAAGACCCCAAGATCCAGAACAGCAAGTTCCTGCAGTTTGTGAGCAAGATGAGCCGAGGGGAGCTGATCATGGAGGACAACCAGGTGGGGGCGCAGGAGGAAAGGAGGGAGGGAAGGCCTGACCCTGTGCGTGCCGCGGAGGAAGAGGAGTTGTGAAGCGCGTGGGCCCCGCTGTGGCACTGCCCTGTGCTGAGCTGCCTGTCGAGGTGCCTGCCATGCTGCTGCTGCTGCTGGGCGCAGGTCAAGGAGGTGCCGCCCGCCGCCGCCGCGTGGGCCGACGAGTTCAGCACGCAGCAGCGGCGGCAGCGGGCGGGGCAGGGGCCGGCGGTGTGGGGGGACGAGTTTGCCTCCTTCCAGTCGCAGCAGCACCCCGCGGCCACGGGAGAAAAATGGGCGGAAGACTTTTCAGGTGCGCAGGAGGGCGTGCAGCGCCGTTCCCTTGCTGTAGCTTCGGCCCGGCTGCACGAACACGTTTTGAGCCTTCCTCACTTTTGTGTTTGCCATGCTTTGGTCGATAGATTGCCATGTGCGGCAAGCACACGCAAGGCTGCGCTTCACCACCCCGCAACTACCGCTGCTGCTACCGCCGGTCGCTGCAGGGGCTGGAGCCGACTGGGCAGACCAGTTTGCCGAAGGCGTGGTGGGAGGCGGCGCATGGGTGAAGGAGTTTGCAGATGGGCGCGGCAGCACAGGTGGGCATCCGGCTGTGCGTGGCAGGCGCATGGGAGACTCTTCGCTTTGCTGCAAGAGCCTGGGTTTGTCCAAAACACCGTGTCTTGGCTGACCGGTGGCGAGGCGCATGCCGCTTCCTGCCCCCTGCCTGGGGCTGCAGATGTAGCCAGCTGGGAGGATGAGTACATGGCGGAGCTGGAGCGCCTGCACGGCACAGCAGGTGCGCGCACGGCAGGCAGGGGCAGGCGCACTGCCGCGCCGTTGTGCCTCTGCAATTGCCTGGTTCCGGCCCCTGCCCCGTCCCCACTGTTGCCGGCATGGCGCCGGCGGCCGGCTTGCTCACCTGCACCTGCGCTACCAGGCCCCTGGCGTGCGCCGCCGCAACCTGCGCGCTGCTCTCGCGCCGCCGCCCTCGCCCCGCAGGCCCTCACTCCGCCGGCGAGTATGTGTTTGCCGAGGTCAACCCCTTCCTGCTGGACACCGACAGCATGAGCAAGGGGCGGGAGCTGTTCAGGCGGGGCGTGCTGACGGGTGGGTGGCGTGCGTGGGGGTGGGCGGTGGCTGGGCCTCCCGCACACGGTTTGCTGCGGCCCTGCTCGTCTTGCCTGGCCTTTCATGTGTTGCTGGGATGTGATGTACCGCCTGCGCTGCAGAGGCTGTGCTGGCGCTGGAGGCCGAGTGCCAGCGCAGCCCGGGCAACGCAGAGGCGTGGCGGCTGCTGGGGACGGTGCAGGCAGAGAATGATGACGACCAGCAGGCCATAGCCGCCATGAACAGGTGTGTGGTGGTGGGGTGGGGTGGGTGGAGGGCCGAGTCAACTGGTGGTGGGCCCCCACCTTGAGCGAGTCCATGCGCCTGGGCAGAGGCGTGCGGCTGCGGCCAGCTGACCTTCCTCCTGTGCATGCCAGCGGCGCCGCACGCCGTCGGCCCATGCCCTGTGCTCAACACCCCCTGCCCCCCACCACCTGCACCCTGGCCCCTGGCCCTTCCGCAGGGCACTGGCCGCCGACCCCTCCAACCTGGATGTGCTGCTGTCGCTGGGGGTGAGCCACACCAACGAGCTGGAGCAGGGGGAGGCGCTCAGCTTCCTGCGCCAGTGGGTGCTGCGCCACCCCAGCCACGCCGCCGCGGCAGCCCAGGTGCCGCCGGTGGACGACTCGAGCCAGGCGGCGGCACACGTGGTGAGGCGCGGGGGCAGGGGGATGGGCGCTGGAGGCGTTGCGGCATGGGGGGGCAGCACACATGGGGGCTGGCTGTGAGAAATGAGTGAGGTGGGCCAGGCTGCCGCTGGCTGGAAGTCACACTTGTGAGCGGCGGCGGCGCTCCTCCTTGCGCAGGCGGCGCTGTTTGAGGCGGCGGCGCGAGCAAGCCCCGGCGACAGCGACGTGCACGCTGCGCTGGGTGTGGTGTACAACCTGTCGAGGCAGTACGATGAGGCGGTGCTGGCATTCAGGTGGGGGCGGCGGCGCTGTGTGGTGGTGGGGGCGGGCCGATCGGTGTCAACCTTCAGGAAGCCTGGCCATCACCCTGCTTGACCTCTATGTCTCTCGTGGGAGAGGCCGCTGGCCGCGTGTTGGGAGGCCGACTGTGCCTGACAGCGCCCGCTGCCGCGTGCGGTGCCAACCGCTGCCGCCGCAGGGAGGCACTCAAGCTGCGCCCGCAGGACTACTCCCTGTGGAACAAGCTGGGGGCCACGCTGGCCAACTCCTCGCGCAGCTCTGAGGCCATCAGCGCATACCAAAAGGTGCGGCGGCGCCTGGGCTGCGGCACCCCCCGCCTGCACAGCTGCTGGCCAGGGCCCCCCCCTGTGGCGTGCTGCGCCGTGTCCCGCACCACAGCACGCAAAAACATGCCACTTCTGCCGTATCTTGCCCGCAGGCTCTGGACCTGAAGCCCAACTACATGCGGGCCTGGACCAACATGGGCATCTCGGTGAGCCGCCACACACGCCTGCCCAGCCCCGCTGCCTTGCCATGCCCGCCACATGCCGTGCGCAGCCCAGGCCCCCTGCACTGCCGCTGACTTCACGCCGCCGCTGAACACGTCCATGCGCGCGCACACTCGCACACACCACCCCCCGCCACCCTGCCTTCCTCTGCGTGCAGCTGGCCAACTGCGCCGACTACGACGGCAGCGCCCGCTACTATGTGCGGGCCCTGGCCCTCAACTCCAAGGCCGGTGCCGTGTGGGGCTACTTGCGCACCTCGCTGACCTGCGCGGAGCGGGCAGACCTGCTGCCCGCGGTAGACGCCCATGACCTGCCCGCCCTGCAGCAGGCGCTGCCGCTGGAGTGAGGCCGGCCCCGCCTGCGGCGGCGGAACTGGCGCACGCTTCCCGTTGCCTCTTTGTACCATGTACATTTCATTTTTGCCGCCGGTATTCCTTGGTGCTTCCATCTGCTTGCTTGATGTTGATGTTCACATGGCTCGATTTTGCAGCTCAGACAATTTGTGTCGCGATTCCAGTTAGCGGTGCAAAAGAAAGCGAAAGATAACAAAGTGCGTGGCCAGAAATGGGATTGAGGACAACTGCAGCAAGGACAGAACGAAGCTACCTACAGGGGAAAGACGGCAGGGAAAATGGTGTGGTGCAGTGCGGCTGAATGTACAGGCGGTCTATCTGCCCCTCTTCAGAGAGCGGCCAGGTGCTTCCGGATGTTTCTGGCCTGCTGCGCGGCGTTGCCAATGTAGGTGGCGGGCGTCAGCTGCAGCAGCTCGGCCATGGCGCCCTCGGGGATGCCGTCAATGCCGCTCACAAACTCCTGCGGGCAGGCGGGCAGGCAGGGTGTGGTGTGACAAGTAGGGTGTGTGGAAGGGCCAACGAAGGGGCTCCAGAAAGGTCATGGGAACAGCAGCACAGTCAGGCGGGCAGGGCGGGCAGGGTGGCGCCACCCCCGCACCTGCATGCTGGCCTGGGTCACCGCCTGGCCGCGGGTGAAGGCCTTAAGCTTCTCGTACGGCTCCGGCACAGCATACCTGCGGCGTGGGGCGGGGAGCAGGGACGAGGGCCAGGCCGTGCGTCACAAAGCTGCCTGTCGTCGTGTCTGACAACGAGGCGGCCACTGCCTGCCCCTCATGCGTATGTGCGCTCGGTGGCAGCCGCTACAGCCCCAACCGCCACCCCAACGCCCCCCGCACCTGCGCATGACTGTCTGTATGGGCTCCGCCAGCACCTCCCAGGAGGAGTCGAGGTCTGCGGCCACGCGGGCGGCGTCCAGCTGCAGCTTGCTGATGCCGCGCAGGCTGGACTGGTAGGCCAGGATGGAGTGGCCCATGCCCACGCCCAGGTTGCGCAGCACCGTGGAGTCTGCGGGTGGACCAGGGGTGGGAGGGAGGAAGGGGTGGGTGGCATGCCAGCGGGCGGGAAGGGCAGTCGGTGGCATGCCAGCAAGAGCAGGGCCCCAGCGCCAGGGAAACCACCAGCCTGCAAGTATCCAGCCAGGAAGTGTCAGCTTCATGGGCTGCCTGCGCCGCCCACCGGTCCACCTGTGAGGTCGCGCTGCCAGCGCGAGATGGGCAGCTTGGCTGCCAGGTGGCCCATGGTGGCGTTGGCGATGCCCAGGTTGCCCTCGCTGTTCTCAAAATCGATGGGGTTCACCTGCGCCAAGGGCAGCGCTGGGCAGCTGCGCTGGGCCACAGATCCGGAAGCAGGGCGGGCGGCGCCTGCGCTCGGCGGTCGCGGTGCAGTGGGCGGCGGTGCTCCCTGCCCTGCCCGCCACCCTCCCGCACACCTTGTGGGGCATGGTGGAGGAGCCGACCTCGCCGGCGATGGTACGCTGCTTGAAGTAGCCCAGGCTGCGGGGCGGGGGAGGGGAGGACGCGTGGCGGGCAGCGTCGGTGTCGGTGTCCCGACAGCTCTGGCGGCGCACACACGGACAGCTCCTAGCGAGTGCCACCCGAGGCAAGGCCAGCCTGCACGCCCTCACCTGATGTACGACCACAGGTCCCGGTCAAAGTCGGTGAGGATGCTGTTGAAGCGCATCACGCCGTCAAACAGCTCTGCGCGCGGCAGGCGGCGGCGGCGGCGGCCACACAAGCATTCACACGCGGTGCACATTGCAGCCGCCAGACCGTGGGCACTGGGCACATGCGGCCAGCCACGCCCGCAAGACCTGCTCCCCCACCAGCCGCCGACCTGCCACCCCCACCCACCCCAGCCACCCCCCCACACCACCACACACCTGCGATGTAATCGTGCGGCTCGATCTGCGTCACATACGGGTTCCAGTCCAGGCCCAGCGAGGTCACAAACTCCCGCGCCACCGCCTCCCAGTCCACGCCAGGGTACGCGCTCATGTGGGCATTGTAGTTGCCCACCGCCCCCGCCATCTTGCCAAACAGCGGCACCGCCGCCACCTGCTTGCGCTGGCGGGCCAGGCGGTAGGCAAAGATGGCCATCTCCTTGCCCAGGGTGGTGGGGGACGCGGTCTGGCCGTGCGTGCGGGACAGCATAGCCACCTCGGCATGCTCCTCAGCCAGCCTGCAGGGACAGGGGGGGTGCACGGGCAGGGCAGTCGGAATGGGGTCAGGGAGTCAGTCGCATAGCAGGTCGGCAGGGGAGGGGCAAGGAAGCAGCGCAGCACCAGCAGCGGCAGCAGCAGCCGCGGCAGTGCGTCAGGCGGTAGCTGTGGAGAGTGTGCAGGCGCTGGGGGGCTCATCACAAAGAGTTGGCTTCAGAAGGCCGGCTGGCCTCTGTCAGTGTATATTTAAGTTTGTCTGAGACAAATTAGTGCCATCACCGCCCTCCGATGCTGGGTGCAGGCGCCCGGCTCAGTGCAGCGGCCCAGGACGGTGCATGCAAGCTCATGCAGCGGTTGCAGCCGGCGCATGAAGCTGCAGCCAGCGCAGCAGGCGTCACTTCCACGCCCATGCACACCCACACCTGGCAATCTCCCCGATGACCTTGTCCATGGCGGGCAGCAGCTCCGAGTGCAGCGCCTCGCGCAGCATCAGCGCGTGGCTCAGGTTGTTGATGTCCTCAGAAGTGCAGGCAAAGTGGGTGAACTCCAGCACCTGGGCGGAGAGGGCGCCGCATGCAGGAAGAGGTGGGCGGGTGGAGGCAGGCGGAAGCAGCCCAGGACTTCCATTTGATGGCCGGCAAGCAGCAGCAGCACCTTTGCTGCAGCATCCAGCGGCTGACCAGCGACAGGCGCGCACAGCAAGGCTGCCGCCCTTGCCCCTGGCGGCACCCGGGCGCACCTTGGCCAGCTCCGGGTCTGCCTGGAACCTGTGCTTCAGCACATACTCAATGGCCTTGACGTCGTGGTTGGTGGTGGCCTCGATGCCCTTCACCTCCAGCGCATCGGCCACGCTGAACTCACTGGCCAGCTGGTCCAGCAGCGCAGTGGCGCCCGGGCCAAAGGCGGGCACCTCGCTGCGGGGACAGCACAGAGGCGTGGGGGGTGAGGTGCGGGCCTGGCCATCCTCGGTTGGCTGCGCCCTTGCAGCTGCCCACGACTCCTCCTCCTGGGCTCCCGCCCTCACCTCACGCCCTCCAGCTCGCTCAGCTTCTGCAGCCAGCGGCACTCAACCAGCACGCGGAATCGGATGAGGCCGTACTCGGAGAAGGTGCGGCGCAAGCCCGCGACCTTGCTGGCATACCGCCTGCGGCAACGCGTCGAGCGACGGCAGGTGGGCGCCAAACTCCAGACTTGCCGATACGATGAAACTGTTAGCCATGCCAATATGTGCTCTCAATGCATGCGCTCACCCATCAAGCGGCCCCACAGCCGTCAGCTCAGACAGCTCGAGCGGGGCGGCGGCAGCGGCGGCACCATTGACGCCCGCCTGCAACGGCAGCGGCAGAGGGCGGCGCTCAATGAACCGATTGCCATCGGCTCCATCTTTGACTGACGTGCACTTGAAAGGGAAAGCAGAGCCTCTCTCTAGAGCTCATCACGTTGCTCAGTCCCACCTTGGCACGTTCCGCGGGGGCCACGGCTCGGCACCTCACGGCACGTTGTGCAAGGGAGGGCCGAAGAACAGCCGCCTGGGCGCACAGAGCACCATGCCTGCTGCATGCCCCAAGGGCTGGGCGAGCGTCCATGAGGGCCACTGATGCATGCATCCTGGCAGGACAAATGGCGGTCAATGCATGAGCTCTGTTTCTTTGCAACGCTTGATCGCCAGCTCAGCCGCCCTTCGAAATAATGCAGCTTGCTGCAGCTCTGTTTCAATCTCCATTCCTCGCCCTCACGCATGCGGCTGGCATCGGTCACTGTGCACAAGTGGGCGCGCTGCATCCCTTCCGCCAGACGTCAACCCATCACTTCCCAGGCCGCCAGCAGCGCCATGGCCCAGCAGCAGGCCCGCGGGGCCTTCATCGTGTTTGAGGGCGCCGACAGGGCGGGCAAGAGCACGCAGTGCCAGATGCTGGTGGAGCACCTCCAGGCGCAGGGCGTGGCGGCGGAGCTGTGGCGCTTCCCCGACCGAACCACCCCCATTGGCAAGATGATCAACTCCTACCTCACCAGCCAGAGCGATATCGACGATGCAGCCGTGCACCTGCTGTTCTCGGCCAACCGCTGGGAGAAAAGGTGAGCAACGGTGGGAGGCGGGCGGGAGGCGGGAGCGGGAGGTCGCCTTCCCTGCTGGAATGGCAGGGACTCTGTCATTCCAACAGCCGCCAGTATCCTCGAGAATCTGTCACTGCTCATCAACCCCGCAATGGCTAACCGGTTGGCCTACAGGGAGGAGCTGCTGCGCAAGCTGCATGAGGGCACGACGCTGGTGGTGGACCGCTATGCCTACAGCGGCGTGGCCTTCACAGCTGCCAAGGGCCTGCCCGGCCTGGACCGCGCCTGGTGCATGGCCCCTGATGCCGGCCTGCCCGCGCCCGACGCCGTCTTCTTCCTCTGCCTCACCGTGGAGCAGGCGGCGGCGCGGGGCGGGTACGGCGAGGAGCGGTACGAAAAGGATGAGTTCCAGGTGCGGGTGGCACCTTAAGGGGGTACGGCCGCCTGCCGCTTGGCTGGTGCTGTGCTTTCGCTTGGCTCCCATGGCGGGGCTTCATCTCCGACCCAAGCTTAGCGGCAGCAACGCCCTGCATGCCAACCCCCTCTCCCCTGCCCACCCGCCTCCCGCAGCGCAAGGTGCTGGACCAGTTCCACGCCATGCGGGGCAGCAGCTGGCGCGTGGTGGATGCCTCGCAGTCGATTGACGCCATCCAGCAGCAGCTGCGGGAGCAAGCGGCGGCGGTGGTGGCTCGCTGTCAGCGCGGCACGTCACCCGTGGGCAAGCTGTGGGAGGGCGCCCAGGCGGGCGCCGGCGCACCCCTCTCAGAAATCAACCAGTAGCTATACTGTCCTTGTACCACTAGGCCTTTCAGCTTTGGCTCTCAAATTTGTTTTCGCGCTCGTTGAATGAATAAGAAAGAATAAACGCACAGCAGAGATTGAGTAAGAGATTGGGGTAAGGGGGAGCTAGTCTAAGGAGGCTGCAAATGTGCGGCGGCGGCTAAAAACTGGCAGGGTTGGCAGTTCATCGGTTGCTTTGTGAAAAAACTGCGAGTGTGGAAACACAGGTGAAGAGCTGCAGGTTTTGGAAGGTTGCAGCAGCTCAGACCAGTCTGGCCCAGCCGGGGGCTCACAGCAATGGGCCCAGAGCACCCTGTGGGTTGGGAGTCCCCTGAGCCTCCCGGTCGGTCTGCATGAAGGCATCCAAATTGAAGCTAGCCGCGGCCTCCAGCCCCAAATGCGCCTCCAATACCATTGACGCTGGCGCAGGTGCCAGCTCTGACCCCGGCACCGCTGCGGCATGCTGCTGCAGCTCGGGCGCGGGGATACTGATGGGTGCCGCAGCAAAGGGGCTGCTGCCGCCGCCAGCCGGGCTGGCAGCTGGCAGAGCAGGGGGCATTAGATGGGCATGCCCCGCATCTGCAGATGCCGGTGGGGTGCCCTGCAGCTGGGTGAGGATGCCGGTGCCCACCTCCACCGCAAACTCCAGCAGGGCTGCCTTGTCCGCCTGCAGCTGTGTGGCGGTCAGGTACACAACCTCCCGCCCGCACCCGTCCAGCCAGGCATACTTGGCCCTGCAGCGCGGGGGATGGGGTGGGGTGGGGTGGGGGGGCCGGCGGCAGCGGCAGATAGGTGAGCGATGGTGCGCTTTCACTGCGGCTGTGGCCCACATACCCACATCCCACAGGACAGCCGCACTGCCCACCTGAAGCGCTGCAGGCTGGCCTGCTCCTCGGGGGTCCACTGGTGGCCCGCCAGGATCTGCTGAATGGCCTGGTACATCTGCACATGCGGCTCAGACGGCTGCCACTCGGCCAGCGAGAAGGCGGGCGCCGCGGGCGCCGCACGCGGCCAGCCGCCGCTGGGCCTCCAGTTGGCAGCGCTCTGCCTGCGAGCCAGCAGCAGCTGCTGCTCCTGCTGCTGCAGCAGCAGCTCCGCCGCGCCGCCTCCCTCCATCTGCGAGGTGCGGCGGCGCTTGGGGGGCGCCGCCGGCTGCAGTGTTGGCAGGTCAAAGCCAGGGTGCACCAGCGTGCCTGGAAGGCCTGCACCGCCCGGCAGCCCTGCCGCAGCTATGGCGGCAGCGGCAGCAGCGCCACCACCAGTGCCGGCCAGAGCAGCCTGGATGGCAGGGGTTCCGTGCGTGCCGGCGTAGCCGGCGGCTGCCACAAGTGCATCCAGCGCTTCCAGCGCGTCTGCTGTGGGCGGCGATGCCAGCTCCTGGCCATGGGCAGCGGGGGCGCCCGCAATGGCTCCGTCCTCAGATGCCTGTGCCAGCGATGCCGAGCGGGAGGCGGCCTTGGTGGTGAAGTCCACGCGCACCTGTGGCAGCGCGCAAAGCACACATTGGCTTTTTGATTTCAACACCATGGGATCTGCACCGGGCTAATCACTTCCCTCAATTAGCAACGCGTTGTGTGCAAAGCTGGTGTCAGGGCTCTGCTTGCCTTTCTGTCGGATGGCACGCGCTGGATGAGTACACGGCCGCCATCCTTCTTCATGCGGATCTGCTCCCCAGCCTGCAGCCCCGACTCACGCACCCAGCTGCCAAAGACGCGGCCGGTAATGTAGTGCACGTTGGCTGCGGGAAGGGAAGGGGCACGCGAGGGTGGGGGAGGCCAGGGGAAGGCTGGCCGGCACCACCGGTGTTTGTCAACTTGGGGTGCACGAGTGAGGCAGGCCTGTGCTCTCACCCGCGCTGATGAAGCTGACATCAAAGCGGTATTCGGCATCCAGGTCGGGATCATACATGGCCGCCCTGTCGTTCTCCCCAGGCAGGCGCCCGTACAGCTTCTTGAACAGCCAGCCTGCAGGCGGTGAGAAGCCCGGCGCGGTGTATACCAGCTCCAACTGGGCGCTGCCTGCGGGCCAACATTGGGGTAGCAACCCATCCCACATCGCCCGCCCACCTGCAATGGGGCACTGCTGGTGCACCATGGTTGACTTGTAGACGGTCTTGATGTTCCAGCCGTCGGCCAGCTCCATCCAGCGGTTGGGGTGGGAGCCCTGCTGGCTCTGGCCCCGCGTCTGCTCTGAGGAGGCCTCCTGGCGCACGCCCCGTGCCCCGCGCCCACCCGACCCTTCCACCGCAGACGGGTCCGACAGGTCAGAGTCGGCGCCCTGCAGCGGGGAGGGCAGTGCGAGGTGGCGGTGATGCACGCACAATGTGAGATGGCACACGCAGCACGAGATGGCGATTGGCCACCCACCCACCTCCTCCGCCTTGACGGCATTGCTTGCGGCGTGGCGGGCCAGCTCAATGCGGCCCGTGGGCAGGTCGCGCTTGAAGATGAGCGTGTCGCCCGAGGAGATGCCCAGCGCCTCCCACAGCTCCGCAAAGGCGCCCTGGATGCAGCAGCAACGCAGCACGCCAGGCTAAAGTGATGGCATTGCCGCCCGCATGCATGCATTCTGCTGGTGCTGTGGATGGCCTGACATGCAGGGGGCGCCAGACTGCACCAGCATGCGCCCCTTGGGCTCACCCGCAAGGTGTACTGGGGGCGCAGGTCGTTGCGCGCCTCGCTGTGCACCACGCACTGCCACTCGGTGCCAGAGGGGTCCACCAGCACGGCGCTGCCCATGCTCTTGAACAGCTCCTTGTACACCTTGGCTGCAGGCAGGTGGATCGCGGGGGGGGAGGGGCACAGGGCGCCAGGGGTTGGTCAGATCAGGCAGGCTTAACGTGATCCTGGCGGCAAGCATGCACTTGAGCTGCCTCGGCAGGTGAAGCCACACTCACTTGCAAAGTGCACTGTGCGGTGCTCGCACCACCAGGGAGGCACCACCTTGAGCCAGGTGTTCTCATCCTTCTTCTGCCAGTCGGTGCGCGGGCGCTGGGCCTCCACCGACCCGCGCTGCCGCTTGCTCCCGCTGGCGCCACCACCTGCATCAAGGGCATAGGAGCAAATGGGACGCTTGAATGTCAGTTGTCAGGAGCCATGCCCAGGACAGGAGAGCTACTGGGCTCGGTGAAGGTAGCTAAATGTTTGCCACAGCAAACAGGACTGCAGGCAGAAGCAGCTAGCCATTTACAGCTGATTTCTGATCCAGTGCATTGGACTCCTACAGTGCTGTTCACCGCTTCCCCGAGGCTCCCCCCTTTCCCTTGGCCCTACCACCCGGAGCTCCTTACCCGTCTGTCGGCGCGGGCGGGGCGCCGTGAAGGCATAGTCCTCATCGCTGTTGTCGGTGTCAGAGTGGTGGGGGCACCACAGCTCAAAGGTCTCGCTCTCCAGCAGCACATTGGGCGCGCCCACCGCGCATGGCAGGTGGTAGGCGGTGCGGCACCTGCAGGTCGGCGGCGGCAGCGCGCAGTGCGCACAGCGGAGCAGCGAGCGCTAGGATGCCAGCGGCGGCCAAAAGCAACTCGATTGCACTGCAGTAGTGTGTGCAGGCTGGCAATCCTGCCTAGTTGGGGCATCGGCTGGGCCCTAGGCTGGGCTCACCCCGGGTGGGAGCAGGTAATAGAGGCGCCTCGCTGGCCGCAGGCAGCGCAGGCGCGCTGCCGTGCCCGCCGGACCTCCGCTTCCAGGTTGACATAGTTTGAGCAGCCCTGCATGGGTGTGGGCAGGTGTGGAGCGGAATAGGCGGCATTAGGTTTCGGTCCAACATGCAGTCAACACCGTCGTGTGGTTGGCACGGCGGGTGCACCCACCTCAGGCAGGTAGCAGCCGGGGCTCCAGATGGCACACAGGTGGTGCACGGCCACCGCCTCGCCCTCAACGGTGGCTGTCTTCAGGGGCCCACACGCGCCCTGGCTGCCCAGCCCGCCGCAGAGCAGGCACTGGTGCTGGCGGGGCACGGGCGGCATCGCAGCCGCAGCCGCCGCCGGTGCGCTGGGCAACTGTCCGCTGCCCGCCTGCACCTCCACAGTGGCCGGCGTGATCAAGTCGTCGCTGCTCTCGACTCCCAGCTCGCCTGGCAGGCCCGGGCCAAAGACAGAGGGCCTAAACGCCCGAAAGCCGAGGTGCCCCCCGCTCTGCTGCTCCAGCAGGCTGCCCAGCTCCGAGGACTTTGCCGGGCCGCTGCCCAGCATGCTGCCCAGGGCTGTGTCCAGGCTGCCCTGCATAATAGCCGCTGGCTCGAGGAACATGCACGACCGCCCCAGCTCACGAAACTGGCTCCCCTTCGAAACGGCAGCCCGCAGGCGCCCTGCCGCTACCTCCCTTGCCGGCGGTGGGTGGTCAGGGAAGCATGTGTGCCAGCCGGCGAGGGCTAGGCTGGCCCGTTCCCTAGGTGAGTTACGGCGTTGACTGTTAGCAACTCCTTCGGCAATTCTGTTTGCAGTACCAATGCACAATTGAATTGATTGGACAATGCGTGCAATGGCAGGCGGCAGGGGGAGGGCAGGGGAGGAAAGGGGCCGGCCGCCAGCGGTGCAGGCGCCGCGCTGTTTGGTGGGGGAATGCCTCGAGACCCTAGACATTGTCATCAACGTTTGGGGATGGTTTGTACAATTGTGCACCCGTTTATAGGTGTCCCTACAGCCGTCGCGTTGGTCGGGTTGACGACCATCACGTGTGTTTAGCTGCGACCAAGGTCAAGCTCAAGATGGAACGGGACATCGAGCCGCGGGCGCCTGGCCGCTGCTCGGCGCCTGGGCACAAGAAGGCGCTCAGGGAGGCTCAGCGTGGGGAGCTGTCCGTTGGCGGCGCCTGCGCCCTGCCGGCGCCTATTGCAGCTCACCCCACGCCCTTTCCTGCGGCAGCCGCAGTATGCAGCTGTTAGCAGAGCACTCCACCCTCCCTACTGTAATGATGTGACCAAGGCGATGCTGCAGGCCAACCAGGCGGGTGGCACCACAGAGGTCATGTCACCTTTATGGGATTAACCAAGTGGCAGCGCTGCTGCCCCAGCCGCCTCTCGGCATGAATGAAAGCGGCTATGAAACAACTGACTGAGATTACAGCGGTAGCGCACTTGTCCTGTGCCAGAAAGTGCAATGCTCCCCTTGCTGACTCAATCACTGGCATGCATGAATGGGAAAAACATGTCCCGATGTCATTAACAGACCACCAGGCCTGTTAGTTGGCACAACAGCTGTGCCCCACTCGCTCTGTGATCGTCAAAGTGAGGCCCGACTATTTTGTAGAGGAGAAGAAGGATGGCATAAACGGCGGCTTAGAATGTTCTTGCCAGCTGCAGCCATGGCGGTGAGCTACTTGGCGGGTAAACGGCACAACACGCCTTGAATTGGGATGTGGGCGCATCATTGGTTCTTGCGGGCCGAAGAGACAGCTGCACACAGGTGGGGGAGTGATAGCTGGATGCGGAGCAAGGCAGTCTCATGCAGGGGGATCCATAGGGCAGCGCAGCTGCATCGCTACATACAGGTGTGCCCTGCATCTCACAGGGAGGCGCGCCTGCCCTTATTGAACGGCGTGTCTCAAATGCATCCATCCGCTGTTGGCGCTCCCTCTTCTTGGCCTCGTACTCGGCTTGGGACGCCTTTTCTTCCGCCATCATCTGTGCCATTTCCGCCATGGACCGTGCCAAAGCCTTCTTGATGAGCCCGTTGTGGTAGGCGAGGAAAGCATCCGGATCTGCAGCAGGAGCGGTAAGTGCATTACTGCTGTGACTGGGCCAACGGGAGGCGGCGCCGCTGGACGCTGCAGAGGCGGTGCAGACCGGCTTTCGCCTGAACCTTCGCTACTACAGCCTGCACCTGCGCAGTCGTCCCGACCTCACTTTGGCACAAGAAGAACACCGCCACAGGGATCGCCTCACCCCAACCACAGCACTCTGCTCACCCTCAGCGTACTTTGGCGCGCTCTGGGCGCTGAGGGAATCCTCTGCGTCCGCACGCAGCGGGCGCTGGATTTCGCTCATGGTGCGGTGCTGCCAGGCATTGAACGAAGCAAGGCTGCTGTCAGAATGGTGTGAAGCGTCTCGAAAAAGAGCAGACAGAGAAGAGGAGAGTACGCGGGACGCGCGATTTGTTCTTCGGCCGTACTGGGAGGGAAACGAGGGTAAAAGCACGGCTCCGAGTTTTTTTTAATACAGGGGGTGCATAGGTGCAGGTCAGCCTAGATCGATCAGCCGCCGCCTCTTGGCCGCCGCTGGCTGCCTCCCCTCCCCCCCACCCCACCCGCGCCGGCACTGACGCTGCCGCCACCGCCGCAGTGGCTGCCCCCTGCCCCGCCGCTCCCCCTCCCCACCCCATCCTCGTCATTGCGTCCGCTGCCAGCCTGTGGGGATCCATCCTGCCGCGGCTGGGAAGGTGGCGGGGAAGTGTAACGTGATGGCAATACGTGACGGTTGTACCCACCCTCTTGCCTGCTGGATGCATGGGCGGAGGACATCAAACACAGCAAGCGGCACTAGGGCTGGTAGTGGAGCATGCCCAACTGGATGGCAGTGTGGGCACTGCCGCTGTCTGCCCTGAGTTGACTTGTGTTGTCTCTGGCAGCGCATCACATTGGTAGCAAGTGTGTGATCAGGTACCCATCAGACCAACAGGGAAGCAGGTTGCAAAGCAGACAGGAGCGTGGGAAGAAAAAGTCGGCGCACCGCGCTCAGCACAGTGGTGTCCCCTGCTGCCAGCCCGCCGTGTTCACCGCTTGCGCTTACGCTTGCTGGTGGTGCCCTCGTCCTCGGTGGCGCTGCTGTCCAGAGAGTGCGTCTCCTCGCTCACCGTCGCCTCGCTGTCGGCGTCGGCGTTGGCGGCGCCGCTGCCCGCGCCGCCAACGCCTGGGCCCTCGCCGCCCTCCGTCGCCTCGTCCTCTGTGTCCTCGCTGTCGTGCGCCGCCAGCGCGGAGTTGCGGCGGCGGATGCGCGTCTTGAGCTCACGGCTGTCGTGGTTCATGCAGATGTATGAGCCAGAGGGGAAGGCCATGCCGGTGCACTCCGGGTGCACGCTCACCACGCAGCCGTCGGGGTGCTGCAGTACGCAAGTGGGAGCGGCAGGATGCGAGCGGCGGATGAGGGGCCGCTACCCAGGCAGCAAACAAGCGTGTGAGGAGGCAGCAGGAGTGATGGCAGGGGGTGCAGCCTCACACGCCGCCTGCTCCTCACCTCGCAGCACAGCAGGTCGCCCGCCAGAAGGCACACGGAGCACTGGTAGCCCCAGCGGCAGTCGGCAATCTGCTCATCGGTGGCGATGGTTTCAAATGTGGAGGCGCGGCCGCCGGGGAACGGCTCCTTGCCCATCGCCTTGAGCACAATCCTGACGCCGTCTGCGGCAGGGCGCAGGGGCAGAGGGGTCGGGGGGGTGCCGCCAGGGAGTGGCAGAGCGAGAGATCCGCCACGAGCACAGGCAGGCACGGCATCAGCCCCCGGATGACAGCCTGGCCAGCACGCCTACGCGACACACCCCAAGCGCAGCCAGAGGGCAGCGGGCGGGCGCACCATCGGTCTTGGCCTTGCCGGTGCGAATCATGAGCGGGCGCATGGAGGGCATGCCCGCGGCCTGGCGCTTGGCGCGCAGGCCCTCCAGCCGCTGCCGCTCCTTCTCCTCCGCCTCCCACTTGGCTGTCTCCTCAGCCAGCTGCACCACGCGCTGCAGCATGGGCCCCGCCCTGCACCGCACGGGTCCAAGGCGGTAAAGCACCGGTGGGGCCGGCGGCGAGGGCAGTGCTGGCAGCGGGTCGCACATGACCACGGCGTCCACCCACCACCACACTCCCCAACCCTACCGCCGCCACGTCGCCCACCTGTCACACATGATGTAGGCGCAGTAGGCGGCCTGGTCTGCGCTGCGCACGGCGCGCACCATGCGTAGCCAGACGGCGCGCTCGCGCGCGCTGCGCCACAGCCGCGCCGGCCGCCGCATGCGCTTCTCCCGCAGGAAGGTGTGCTCCGCATCCGAGTCGTCCATGTCGTCGTTGGCAGACACCTGTGGGTGGGTGGGTGGGTGGGTGGCTGGGGAGGTCTTGAGCGGCTGGCAGCTGGACTGCGGTGGCGGCTGGC